TGAGCGCGGCTGCCCCAAATCAGGCTGCTTGCTTCGGATTGAAGAAGAAATAGACATCGCTGAAACCACGGAGCTCAAATATTTACAGAGAAGTTGCTAAACTTCATCATAATTAATGACCAACCACTATCAGTTGTAGAAAACGAAGGATTTTGCAGCTTGATACTTGCAGTCAAGATATAGTTTACCCTCCAGGTGATATTTATCAGTACAACAGTAAACAATCATAAAAAACACATGATTTGAAAATTATATATATATTAAAACAAAAACAGCTACATTATAAAGTGATGCAAAATACTAAAAACAGGAACATGTCTGTTGGTTTATGCCCTGAACTTAGCAGGTGTTTGAAGCCATTTAACATTTTATTTAACTTAATTCATTTATTCATTCATTTAAATGAAACAAAATAAAAAAAAATCATGAAAAAGAAAACACTGAATGAAAAGAGTGCAGAAAGAAGAAAAAATTTGTATATCTGCCCCTTATAAAATATAAAACAACTTTAAACAATACCTTGAATTAATCACTTTAATATCCACTTTAAAAATAGGAATAAAAAGAAACATGTTTTGTGTTAGCAGAATTTAATTCTAACTTTAAAACTTATCCAACATTAATAAAACTTACCTCAATTTGCCTTTTTGGACATGCATGCAAATATTTGTACAAATAGTACTTGAGAGGAAATTATTACAGCCTCATATAAAATCAATGATGATCATGATATCGGAACTGGATCGGTATCGGCCGATATTTAGATGTAGGTATCGGGATCGGATCGGAAGTAAAAAAAAAAAATGTATCGGTGCATCCCTAGTTACAGTAGGCTTATTGAGAGAAAACTAGAAAATAGTGGTACCTGTCCGAAGTTCTTTTCGTTAACTTTTTATCCGTCCAACGGGTTACTGCAGAGCCAGGCTCACTGTGATGTCAAATAAAACTGCTGTGATTGTTTGTTTTTTTTTAAAACACAGCTCCATGTTAGTGCTCTGAACAGTTTGGTAAAGTCTGTTTTCAGCAGCTCATTCAGAGAAGAGAACTGAGACTCTGTATGCTGAACCCTGTACCATACATTTCCATCTCTATTTCTGTCAGTCTCTCTGCAGCACTTTATTTCCCTTCTATGGTGAATTGTTAAGACCCAGTGTTTTTTTTATGTATATGTAAACTGGCCAACTGGCTATCATTTGAGGAAACTATGCTTTATAGTTTTTACATTGGTTAAAAATATAGTTTCCTCAAATGATTGGGGTGGCCGATGATTTTCCTATGGTGACCAAGGCCACCACTGACCACCCCCTGGCTCCAACACTGAACCTGGTGATGGATAAAATTGCTTCCTTGGCTCACCAGGATCCGTTACTTTGCTTCACTTCGAACAAGAAAAATAAACTATCTCTCTTCTTCTACACTGTGTAACTCATATCCACTTGAATATTTGGCACCAAAATCATTAAGACTGAATATCTCATATTCATTCATACCCAGCTGCTCACCACAGACTCATGTTCTGGCTGCTGTTGATATGCCATATTATTTTTACATTATTAGTGTTTAGTGTATATCTTAGATCCTTATGTACTGTTTCTTTTTACACGTCATATTTTTGTGTGTACCCTGATTACATAATTTCATTCCACTTCATGTACCACATGTGATGTGAATGACAATAAACTTGACTTGAACTTGAATTAATGTTTAATTGAATTTCTTGTTCAATTCCAGTCCAGAAAAACACTCATCTTAAAAACTACAAACATTCACTATTCGAATCCCTCAGCGTTGAGGGACATCAGCATACTGCTTGTTTTATTTTTCCTTCGGTATGTTGGGATGGTCATCACATGGGAATTAATTTGATTTGTTGTTTGTTTGTTTGTTTATTTGAGAAGTAGAAGCTTCACCTTCAACTTGTCCATTTTCTCCAGAACCTAACAGTCTCAGATATTTGCTGTTTCACTGTCTGCTCACATTCGTACATCATTCTTTTAGCGTCAGCCCTCCCTCGTTCCCTCTGGTTTCCCAGGATGCTGGCTTTAGCTGATTGGAGTGGCCCTGCTTGCTTTGATTTACTGCACGAGTTTTGTGTCACTGCTCATCTCCTCTCCTTCTCTCTCGTCTCTTTCCTCTTCCTGAAGCAGCTAAATCAAACAAACACAACGCAGCTAATGAAAGCAGTGCATTCATGGAGCTAAATAAACCTGTGGTTGTGTCAGCAGCACTGTACCACATATTATTGAACTTTCATATATTTTTTTAGCCAAGAATACTGTTAAAAAATCTAATAGTAAAAAAAGTGGATTTTATGCCATAAATCATACTAAATGTGCCATACAGCTGTAGGATTCTTGTTGTATCACTCTGTGTAAAGATTATGAACAGTTATTATCTTACCTGTTCTGGATAGTTCTGTAAAGGATCTCATTTTTGGATTATTTGTTAGCTCGTCAGTCTGGTCAAATTTAAACCCCATTTTTCAAACTGTGTGTTCAAAGGGCTATGTAGAACAGGTGAGATATTACTTGTTCATAACCTTTTCACAGAGCCGCCCTTTGAAATGTGGGTTATAATTTATATTTATTCCCTCAGCTACTTTATTTTTGGTGAGGTGTGTTCATTAGAACACCTTGTTTGCATTGATTTGGTGTTGGATGATGAGCCTCCTTTGTCTTATAGCTGTTCCCTGCTGAACTGAAACCGCTTCTCTGCTCGCGCTCTCATCTTTGCTGATGTTTTAAATTGTCCTTCAAGCTTCAGGCAGAAAAACAACCACCTCCATCTACCATAGCCCTGTCTCCCCACTCATTTGTCTCGTCCCTCTTCTTTCCTGCACTTCACTTGTACTCCTCTTTGTCTCCCTTCCTGCCACTCCGCTGCTCTTTAAGAGAATTTCCTTTAAAAGTTCATCTGTGAAAGGTCTCCTGGTGCCTCTGCAGACCCCTTTGGCTTTTTGATCTTTCTCTTTGCTGCTCTATTGTCGCAGTTTTTCTTTCCTTTCTTGTTTTTGTTCAGCGTTCTCTGCCTCTAGCACAGCCAAAGTGGATTAAACACACACATACACACACACACACATGCTTAAAATCACACAGAGAAAACTCACCGTGTCACAATCAAGTAAAAGGTTGAGTGGGAAAGTCAAACGCTCTTATTTCACCCAGGCTAAATACAATCTCTGGAGATGCGGTGCCAACCGGAGAGCCCCGGGGGATGCTGGGGCTTTCTGAGAAATCACACAGGCTAACTGCTATGTTGTTTCCCTCCATCCTCCTTCCTTCATTGTGGCCCATTTTTATCGTCAATCCAAAAGCCTGAAAGCCTTGGAGGCTGTTCAGTGTGTGTGTGTGTGTGTGTGTGTGTGTGTGTGTGTGTGTGTGTGTG